TTTCTATTTTACTTATACACACTTAACTTCTTGTAATGTACATTTCGCCCCTCAACTCTTGTTCAATCTCTTGCATCCCTTACGTGTTTTTAACACAAGGAATAGAAACATTTGTGTTTTCTTCCTGAGCTATCGTAAGACCATGAGTAATGGACATGACATCATCGGGATTAATTAGTTATTGTATATATTTTTCTTAATAGTTAATTAGTCAAGTAACACTATTAAATGAATACTAAGAGCATCTCCAATTGCTATTATATTCATGAAAAATTTGCTCTAAAAATTATGTTAAAACTATTCTTTAAAATATAAAAAAAATGAAAAAATCTCGAAATTAAAAAAGAAGAAGAAAATATGTAGTATATTTATTAGAGATGCTCTAAACAGTCGAATAATGGTACTCGCGCAATGTAGCGAGATAAATCTCCATTTTAAATTTTAATGTTTAATTATTATTATTTGTCTCTATTGATGTAATATATAATTTTATGTGGTTTTGAGAAAGCGAATAAGCATCTCCAACTGCTATTATATTCATGAAAATTTTGCTCTAAAATTATGTTAAAACTGTTCTTTAAAATATAAAAAAAATGGAAATCTCGAAATTAAAAAAGAAGAAGAAAATACATAGTATATTTATTAGAGATGCTCTAAATAGTCGGATAAGGGTACTCGCGCAATGTAGCGAGATAAATTTCCATTTTAAATTTTAATGTTTAATTTTTATTATTTGTCTCTATCAATGTAATATATAATTTTAGGTGGTTTTGAGAAAACGATAATATTTTTATTCTTGAATGAAATATAAATTTGAAGATAGCATAATTTTTTTTTAAATAAAATCGATATTAGTATTAAATTAACTATTTAATAGTTTTCGTTTTTTTGGTATAACTTCTTTAATTCAGTTTTTTTATTATAATTTAATTTAGATATAATAACAAAGTAATTTATTTTTGGTTTAATAATGTCATTTTTATTAAAGATAATAATTAAACATTCGGTTAGAAACTCGATAATTATCCTAATTATAGTTTAGATTTTTTATATTTTAAAATGAGATGTTTATCCTCTATTTGATTATGTTTATCCGTAGTTAGTTACA